TCCTCATACTCTCTCCTGACTTAGCTTTCAAAATAGCTAGAATGGAGTAATCTCATTATTTTATGGAATATATTTATAAAAGTGTACACCACACTGTTAAATAAACCTAAAATTTAGAATTTTCACAGAGAACACCCACTATAAAGTCCATGTAAATCTGGAACTCACTGTTTTTCCTCAGGACTCAGTGCAAAATATTTAAAGAGATCTATATCTGTACTGCCTTTCCTACTTCTACCCAGTCAGGATTATTGAACATCATGACTTCAGATGGTCAGATTTTCCTGTGTCATATGAATGAAAAGATAGGTCTTAATTTTCTAATTTGTGTCCATGCACACTTGTATTGAAAATTTAAGTATAAAATCATGGGTGAAGATCCATGATCAGACTGGGAGATGTATCCATACAGGAGTATGTTGGGTATGTATCACACCAGAGGGAACTGTAGGCAGTGGTTTTAATCAATGCATAAATGAGAAAAGTGAAAGTGGTTCTTTTGAAAGGATACAAATGAATGCTATGAAGAATGGGGGAAAACTACCAAGGCTGAGACTTTTTTTTGTAAATAAAGTGCAAACTTTCTTACCAGAGTAGGTTAGTTCATTTTGGTATTCAGAAAAAATGCATTTCATGGTCTCTCTCATGCTGCAGTTGTCTGCTATGGAGTGAACATAGTGCTTCTGGGTCATATCCGGGTTACTCAGTCTTCACTCAGTAGGTGGGGAGGCACTGGAACAGCTGAGAACTGGAACAGAGAAGTGGTGAATGTTCCATCCCTGGAAGTGTCCAAGGCCAGGTTTGATGGGGCTTTGAGCAACCAGGTCTAGTAGAAGGTGTCCCTGCCCACGACAGGAAGGTTGGAACTAAATGATCTTAAAGGTCTCTTCCAACCCAAACCATTCCATGATTCTGTGATTCCATAAATGTGTCAGACTTTACCTGGAGAATGAGATAATGATAAATCATAAAGAATTCTGGACTCTATCTAATGCTATGCTCTGACTATTCTGATTTTAGGAAATAATTCTTCACCAAAAGTGTTATCAAGCTTGGAACAGGCTGCCTAGGAAGCAGTTGAGTCACCACATCTGAAAATACTTGAAACATGCATCAGAGTGGCACTTGGGGACATGGTTTAGTGGTGGAGTTCACAAATTAGTCATTGCGAATGGTGATCCTGAGGGTCTTTCTAACCTAAATTATTCTAGGATTAAATGAACTGCTTAGAAGGAGAGCAGACATATATTTGGTGTAAATTTAGTCAGTAAAGCTGACTTTCCAATTCTGCATTGCTAGAGCAGCATATACCTATGAAAGCTTGTCAAAAGTTGCCAGGGTTTATATTTCTGATTTATACCTAAGAAGTGGATCTTTTGTGTTTTTCCAAAGGGACAAGAAAAGAGTTCTGCCTCCTCTTTCTATTAACCTTAAATGGATGATTGAAGCCTCATGTTCTTATAAAAACACAAGAAAAGACAAGCATTACAAAGACATTTTTTTCTGAATGTGCTTTCTTTTACTGCAACCTTCACTCACAAGAAGTCTTAAGCTGTTAGGAGGCTAATTATAAGCTTAGCAAAGTGTTATGTATTTTCTTTTCTTAGAAAATATTTTGTAATTGTCCTGACTGATGGTTGTGGTACTGTAACTATCTTCATTTGAAAGAAGAACACCCAGAAGGACATCAGTCAGAGTTAAAAAAATATTATCACTTTTCTGATAAAGGGGAGATAAGGCTAAATTGCAAGCATCCTTTTTAAGAGCTATCTTGGGGAGGGGTTTACCATTACACAGGGAGGCGTTTGTAGAAGCACCAGGAAATAGTCCCCAAAATCTGGGATTTTTCTAGAACAAGATTTCTCACTGTATTTGGGTAGATAAGAAATCCTTTTGATTTTAAGCACGGGGCAAAAATAAGCCAGTTGTATTAAGGTGACTTTTTGTTTATGATTGATTTTATTCATGGATCTTTTTTTCTAAGATCAGCCATGGAAAAAAAAAAAATCGAGTCTGACAGGTACCTAAATTTTTGAAGAGCCATAGAGAAACAGATGGGAGTTTATAAAAAATGAGCTGTCTCTTCCAGAATAGTGAGCTGTGAACTGAGTATGACAAGAAAAGAGGGAAGTTACAGAAAATGGTCACACACATGTAGGTGCACACCTGAGCAATGTAGTTTGCTGAAGCTCAGGATTGATTCCTTTCCTGAAGGCATTGGGAGACCAGAAAGCAGGAGAATTCACAAATGTCATTCACTTATTTATAAACTACTGACATGCTCTGATGGCCTCTTATCTTTACAATAAATTAATTTTTTTTTTCACTTCTAATAACAACCATAAAATTTTTTTTGCCGTTTCTGGTAAATAAGAAAATTACTACTTCATAAATAATGTAATGCTTTTCTTATTGATGCATGCTTTTCAGTCTCTAGGATTTGACTCCAAATATTAACACAGAGGTAGCATTAATCCTTTGCAAATAGTGTAATCAGCATGTGATAGAAGTCACTTGCTGTGAAAATATGCAATTGGTGTGATTCTAAGTGCCATATCAAGTCCCACAGCCTGCAGGTTAGTGAGTACAACACCCTTAGTGACTGAAACTCTGAACCTAGGTAGGAGAGATGGAATCTGTGTAAAGCCAAAAATTATCAGGCTGCTGGCACATAAAATTTAAAACCTTACAAGGAGCCTGTCCTCATTTAAAGAGTGGATAGAAAGGGAAACTCTGTGTCAGTAAATATATGGGGAAAAAAGGAAGCAGTAACTGAATATGTGTACATTGACTGTTTCCGTAGTCTCAGGGCATTCTGGAAAGAGACGGAATTGTGGACAGCTTTCAGCTCAGTGCTCAGCTTATGACAGAAAGGCACATGTGAGGCTAGGAGTTATAAAGAAAAAAACTGAAGGCAGTAAACACCATTGTACTAGGCAATCGTGTATGCATAACTTGAAAGCTGCATGTTTTTCTGCAAATAGCTACTGAAAGGATACATTTAAAGAACATATTTTAAATGCCATGGGTGATCTAGCCAAGGTAAAGAGAAGACTTCCAAGGTTGACAGGTAGGGAGATCCACTTCCATGCTGGAAGGCCTTGTATTGCTGGGGATGCTGAAAGAATTCAAGGAATTCTACCTGAAGGTACCAGGCCTGCTTTCTGAACACAGCTCAATGTGGGTCTCACAAGAGATCACACCACCAAGGCTGTTTTATCTGCCTTCCAGGATGGACTACCTCAGGCTCTATAGGCTAAGGACAAGGACAGGTTTTAGAAATTTATAGCATGAGGATGAAGCCTTCAGCTAAAGCACCTCAAAAGCATTGCTGGCCAGAAGCTCAAGAAAAGTGTTTTCCCAGCATGCTCCTAGCAGATCTGAAGCCTCTTTTATTGACTTATTTTGGATGCAGTAGAGTGAACAAGTGGCCTCATACAACATGGCAATTTAGGTTGAGAAAGGGAAAAAAGAGAGGCCTGTAAAAACTTTTAAAGAGAATTTCAGAAATATGACAAAACCAGGCTACTATAGCTGAGCAGTTCTACAGTGGAGACCCAATTCAATTGACTTAAATTCATTTTTCCTCAGAGAAAGAGATAGGCATTTTGTTCTTACCCAGAATTTAAGAAGACTTAAAATTTAGTTTGATTTTAAATGGTTTGGTGATTGATAGATTATTTTTTTTAAAAAAACCATTAATTTAGTTGGGTCTTTTCTGAAATAATGCTTTTTGTTCTATCTCTCTTTATTATGGCTGATACCAATATGGGTGGGAGATGGGAAAGTATGAGGCTTCTCCATTTGCCCCCTTCAACTTTTGAGTAGCTATTTGGCTTTGCAGTACAAGGATTTTTCCTTGTTTTTTTACTTTTTCCCCCTTCTCTTTGCTGACAAGTTAAAAAAAATCCTCAGCTAGAGAGTGCTTTTGCATGAATTACATGAAAACTTCTTTACTGAAAAGTTTGGAACATTTTTCCTCCTACACATTTTGTTATGTATGGTTTTGTGCTGTTGAGCCAAAAATACATCAGTCTCGTATAATACAAATCTTTCTTGCTTTTCTAGGCAGGTTTCAAAAAGTAGCTGTTTTCCTTGCTTCTAAATTCTGGCTCTGCTAATTAGTTTTGTGTTTTGTTAATTTTTTTTTCCCCTCAATTTGTATGCATTCAATTGACTTTAATTAAACCTTCTTGACAGACGACTTCTTCCTTTAGTCCCATAGATTCTTTTTTCTTAATCCTGATACATCACAAAAAGTCTGCTTTCATTTACTCTGGCATCAATTCACTGTAATTCCACCAGAGTGACTGGAATTACTTTGAATTTACTGCTTTATAAGCAAGAACAAAATTTGTTCCCATGATTGACAATTACAGACATCTGAATGGAGGTAAAAAGCACAAACCTTTCCAAAATAATGTTCAGTCTTTACTCTTAATGGGTTTCATGTCACCAAGGAATATGTCACGCGGTCTTGCCAGTGGCCATGTGGTGGGAAAAAAAACAATCTAAACACATGAATGCAAGAATTGGTTATTACTAATGAGCAAGCTTACAAATTAGCATATTCTGACATAATGGAAGCCTAGTACAATTCAGATTCTCTGTTTTTAAAAACTACAAGGGATTTTTTTTCTTTCTGTGAAGTGAGAGAGAGAGTAGGATCACCGCAAGGATATTTTCAGTGGTTACTTCTAGACATTCTTCCCTCTGGTCTGAAACAGTAGAGAGTACATTTATCTTATCTGTGAAATCAAATGTTGCAATTACTTGCTTCTGAGTTGTGTGAAGGTATTTGACAATTAAAACTTTACAGTGGTTTTTATTTGCTCTTCAGGAGAGGGGGGGTTTGTTTCTTTGCTGCAAAAGACTAAGCAAAAGAAAAGGTGTGCATAATACTTACATTTCTACCAATGTCTGAAATGTCAGTAGTTCACGTTCCAAAGCTTAAAGTGTTATTTCCTGATCTTTAATGCAGTCTCACTTCTGTTCTGCAGAAAAATGGAAAGGAAGAGGAAGAGCAGGATCGCACTTTGAGTCAGCACGCAGACGGAGTAGAGCTGTCCTTTATCATATCTCTGGACATCTACAAAGAAGAGAGAAGAACAAATTAAAAATTAATAATGTAAGTAAAATTCTTTTCTTCCCCTACACCCACCCTAGAAAAAAAATAGCCTTTTCACTAACTTTTAAAAAAAATTGAAAGTGCTGTAAAAGGTCAGGGAGTACTTGAGATGTATCCTGATCACAATTTTACAGCAACAAGGATTAGAATGCTTCTCAATGAAGCATATTTCTGCCTGCTGTGAGGTTTGTTACCATAGAGCAAGATAGTGCATTTAATCATATTGTAAACATAAAATTAATGCCATGAAAGCCACATTATAAAATTTCTCAGAATTTTAGTTCCAATTTACCTCAAGGTTTATGCTGTTAAGTTCCAAAGGTCACACTTCATTTAGGCAAGTTTTCATGTAAATTTCTCCAACTTTATACTGTGATATTAATCTTTTAATTTCATAATTGAAGTAGTAATGTTTCTGTCTTCAAATTAATTCTGTATTCCCCCAGTAACTATAAATAATGAGTAACTTCACAAAACATGCTGTGAATGTTGCTAACACTAAATCAAACCATAGCCAAACCAACAGTATAGCAACAGAAAGACTTCTAAAGAAATGTTAATGAGAAAAAATAACTCTCCTGCTTTGTGCAGTACAAATTAAAAGAGGAAAAGGCTTGCTATATACTAAGGGCATGAAAATACACACCTGGCATATATGTCATAGGGCATACAATCACTTCCTTTGAATTTAAATGCTGAAGAAAAGATTAAATGTTAAAAATTTTTTTTTTTTAAAGCTACAAGAATTTCATGTTGAAGATGCATAATAATTAAAAAAACCCTACAAAATATGGGTCTTCCAGGGATATTTTCATTGCATAGTAATATGAAAATATTTTTTTAGGAACATGACTCTTAAATACTGTTTGATGCCTTACCGGTACTCTCAAAATGCTAGTGCAGATGTTATTTTACCATGTTAAAACAGTTATACTGGTTTAACGTGGTAAAATAATATCCTGAGAGTAATTTACTAGCTTAATACATAAATTTTTGGAGCTTTGGGTTGGAATTAACATGAGGAATACTTTCTTTTCCATGATTAAAAAATGGGCTGACTCTAAGAACAGTGAGAATCCAGCTGCTTAAATTCATGAATATGAACCAAGAATAGAGAAGGCAATGACATCAGTATTTCAAAGGAAGCACAAAGAGAAAGGCTGTGACAGACAAGGCAAATGTAGTTAAGTCTATGGTTATGCAGGTTTCGTCTTTTTAATTTCATAGTGAATAACTCCAAGATCAGAAGGACTCTTAGCTTGCTGAATGCACTTTATTGTTTTGGGAGGCTCTTTGTTACTGAAACAGCATTAACCAAGCCCACATTAACAGTGAGCAAGAGTTTTTTAGTAAATAATGCAAGACAGGTCACATCCCACATGCTGCTTTTGGGGAAGGGTAGGTGTTTTTTCTTAAAGCTATGATAGGTGAAAATTAAGAATTTCTACAGCTTGACACTGAAATCTTGGTTACATAAAACACTGGTAAGACACAGACTCAAGACAAAGCTAGTCTAGTGAGAAAGGTCTGGAGCCATTTCATGGTAGATAAGTATTTTGACTTAGATCAGGAGTGCAATTTTAAAGAAAAACAAAAAGTTATTACTACTAATTGTGCTTTCATTCACGTGAACTGGATTCCTTCAGATAAAATAAACCAGGAGAGGCGTTCCAAGTACTGGAGCTGTTCAGTCCATAGGACCAGCCTAGAGATAGTCTGAAAGAACCTTCTCACAACTCTGTGTATAGGATGTTTTTCTTCAGTACCAGTAACTTCTTTCTCTGTGTTCCTATTTTCAGTACTATGTCTTTGTGTATACAAAGATTGTCCAGTAGAATAATATTGCTTTGCAGTGAGAATTAGTTCAACGGAGGAAGAAATAGTTTGCCAGATGCAGTCCCCTATTCCTCCATTTAATCTGTAACTTATTAGTCTTCTTCCTGCCTCAATATTCACAAAATTTATTCCATGAACATCTGTATAAATGAATGTGAGGTCTAGGTTAGAGAAAAAAAGTAACATTTGTTCTTGCCTACATATGTTATTATGTGGGATTTTTTACAAAAGCATCAACCACCTAAGAGCTGTGTTGCAAGAAATGCTTCTGTGTAACCAAATTATTGTTTTGTCTCATTTTTTTCTCTCTTTTTCAGAATGTTTTCGTAGATAAACCAGCATTTCCAGAATACAAAGTTTCAGATGCAAAAAAATCCAAATTCATATTGCTGCATTTTAGCACTTTTAAAGCTGGCTGGGACTGGCTTATTTTACTGGCAACGTTTTATGTTGCTGTGACTGTACCTTACAATGTTTCCTTTATTGGCCATGATGAACTGTCTACAACTCGAAGCACAACTGTCAGTGACATTGCAGTGGAAATTCTCTTTATCATAGGTAAGATATTTTTGGGAGTTGTTTGGGATCTCTTTTCTGACATTTAGGATTTTCAGAGGATGAATAATATTTTAGAAAAGGAAATAATCATCCCTTTCATGACTTTAGAGAAAATCAATTTTAGCTGTACAGCATGGTATTTTATCTGAACTTTAGATTACTCTTTTTTTTTATTTTCATGGAAGATTGAAACCCATTGTTTCACCCTGGGAATGCCTCAAATCTTCCCAGTATAGGGATATGCCATGGAATTGCTACAGTTTTTTTCAAAATCTATGGGGTTATTTTTTTATTTCACACTTAGAAGAGTCATGGACCACAAGCTAAATAGATTTTTTTAAAAATCAATGTAAGATTTAAACTTGTACTGCAATAGCACACAGTGTCAATATGCTATATTGACAACTGGGATAGAATTTGAGAGGTTCAAGTTTGTCATCTGATCCATTCTCCAAACTTTTTATTTCTGTGATCCATGTGATCCATTTAATTCTTACATGCCTTAAGAATCCTAAAAGGAGACAAGGTCATATCTAATAATGGCTTTGTACCAAATAAGTTTCTAATTTTTTTTGGTAGTATCTTTTTCAATTTATTTCTGAAGAATGAAAATAATAGAGTCAGCCAGATTTTTCCCCAAGATTTTACTGCTATAATACCACTCAGTGCTGTCACACTGAGTGATCAGATCTGTTGCTACTTGCAGGTGGAGAAGCTATCATTTTTAAGAAATAAGCCAAGTTGGATATGTCCTTCTTGAACATGAAAAAGGTTCAGATGGGTTCTGAGAGAAAAAGCGTCTTGCTTTGAAAAGACAGGTGTCTACTAAGGAAGGCAGGTGCCTCTCTTGAAATAGAAGATGTAAACCCCCTCCCTCCAAATTATAATTTTGAAATTAAGGGGCTCCCAGGAAAGATATGAGAGTAGGAATAACAGTTCTTTATTAGGAAAAATAAAAATAAAAATGCAGTAATGCAAAACAACACTGACAGAGTCAGAATGCAACCTGACGCCCTGTTGGTCAGGGTGTTGGTAGCTGTCTCATTAAATGGTGGCTGCAGTCCTCCTGCAGTGGCAGGTGTGGTTCTGTTGAAGCAGTGATCCTGCAGAAGGTGTAGTTTTCCTCTGCAGGATCTGTGGTGGAGTAGATGGGCCTGGTCTTCCTCTGGGAGTACAGCGGAAAAGGCTGCTCTGGTGTTCCAAATCTCAGATTATATCCAGGTAGGAATGCTTGGCTCCTCCCTCTGGGCAGAGCTTCTCACAGTGGCATGATGTAATGACTCCCTGGAGGGAGGATTGGTTGTGGAAGAGATTAAAAAAAAACCTGCCTCACCTGGTTCTAACAGATAGCAATAGAATACATACCCCTGACCACATCTTGCATTTGCAACCTAAGACAGAAAGAGAACCAAAAAAACCAATAAAATAATTTTCAGATTTTAAACTTCTTTCCACTTTAATCTTCCTTATTTTTTTATGAAAAAATACAGCTTAACTCAAACATTAAAATCAATGTTACAATCTTCTCTAGAAGAACTGAAGAAAATTGGAACAACATAAACAGTTATAAATACCTCAGAAGATTTTCTTATAAAAATTTTGAAAAGTTTATTCCTCTTCTCTGTCAGCTTTATTGTAGACAGTAAAACTGGTAGGTGATATGGGTGATGGAAGAATCAGATATTATGATGAATAATATTTGAATAATTGTTTCTTCCTTTGGTCATTATTTTGTCTTTAGACTTAAGGTCTAAATTTCCATTTTACGCTCACTATTTGACCTTGGTGGACTCTTTCACATGAATCCAAACAATTCACATTTAAAGATTCTCAAGCACTGTAGTAAGAAACTTGCATTTTGCAATACAGATCATCAAGGTTCATCTTGTGTCTTGCATAAAGAGTGAGATTATGACTCAAGTAAGTCATAAATTAATGTTATATTAAGAATACTAAATCAAATAAACCCACCTGATGTACCTGAGTGACTTTGTAAAAAGAGTAGACTCAAGGTTACATTATTTTGATAATGGTGTTAATAACTGGTTTGTGTTATAAATATGTTTATTTTAGTATAAGCACAAGAGAGTATAATCTGTATCCAACTGATTTATCAGCTGTAGTATTAATTTGAAACAAGAAATAATGCGGCCTGAGGCTCTGGGGTCCGTCTGACTCCCGGCTGCCGCTGCCGTGAGTGTCCCAGACTGCGCTGGGCTGTTTGGCTCAGCCTGTCTGGGTTCCTCAGACTGACTCCCAGCCACAGGCATGTTAGCAAGCACGTCTGGAGTGATTTTAGCTCTGGTAAATTCAGCTCTTACTGGTTTCAGCTCTATGCTGGCAAGTTCTTCGGCAGATGCATACGGATAGAGAGAGAAGTCTGTATGCGGTTCCACAGCAGTGTCCTTTAATTTCAGCTCCTGTGAAGGGGGTAGTGATAGCTCTTCTGCCAAACTGGGCAGAGATGGGGGTAGATATAGGGTACAGGGTTATTGGAAATTGTCCAATGGCCAGGGTTGAGGAGACTATGACCTACAGCCTTACAGGGAGGTAACAAGGGTCTGAATGCAGAAGAGGGTCTTCTTTGGTGCAGTCACCGTGACTAGGCATTTCTTATCTTAGGTGAGTGACCACCAGGGAGGCCTTGCAGGGCCTCTGACTGATGCAAAGGAAGATGGTGAAGTGTTCAGTGTTGCTTTTCTAGTTATATATTTTGTTGGAAATATGGACTCTTTATATCAGTAATTCAAAAGTAGAGACATGTCTATGATCAATGGAATGGCTGAGTAAGAAAAATAAAGCAAAGAAGATTTTCTGTAAATTTTACTTTATAGTTTCTAGTAATATTTTTAGGTCTGTAGTCCAGGAAATAACACTATGGCTGTAGCTAAATGCATTCAATGAAATGTGCATAGAGCACTACAAGAGACTTTGACTAATCATGTTACAGATAACCACAAACACTGTACTGTAGAATACTGATATTCCTCCCACAGTTTGAATAATATCTCAATTTTCCCCAGAATATTTCTTTTCTAGAGTTATTATCTGATTTAAATTTCCAGCTCCGAGGAAAGGTTTATGGAGTATTTTCAGGAAATTGTCATACTGCATTTAAATCCCTGCAGTGAATTTAAAGAAAATAGTGTGTTTATGACCGTCTCTCCAGGGTCCCTTGTCTGTTAAAATATCGAATTAATGTGTCTCAGAACATGTATAGCTATATCGAAAGTAGTAAGGTTGACAACATACTTAAATTTAAGCATAAGTTTCCTGGCATTTGTTGCACTGTGGCTCTGACAAGCATATCTTTGATGGATGATCTATGTGCTCTGAGAAAAGTCAATGAGAAATGTTGAGAGAAATTCTTCTTATGATGCCACTGCCTCAGAAATGCAGTGAGAGCTGTCTGATATAGGATCTTCAGTTGTATTACAGCTTTGTAACCATGGATTATAGAAATAAGGTCTATCTACTTTGATTTTATTCATATTTCTGAGAACATGGAGCAATATTCCTCTTATGAACATGATTTGCATAAACAGTCATTTAGACTTGACAAGGTCTTTGTTTTTAGCTGTGTTATCCAAGACTGACTATATTCTCAGGCATATGGTGTGACTCAGGGATGGTTCTGTGAATGGGCAGGAACTGGACCCGGTGACCCTTGCAGGTCCATTACAACACAGCTTAATGAGTGATTCTGTGACCTGTGTTAACAAATGCTGAAGCATGATAAAAATACACATGGAAGTGTTCTTCTGACTTGGGGTGCTTACAAGAGCATTGATATGAATTAAGTTATTTATGAGAAACGCATCTAGCTAGAGGTTTAACTGCTTTAGCCTTTAAAGTTCTCTAAAACACAGAAAGAAGATAAACAATAATAACAGTCCATTTTGTAACATCTTCAAGTAAAAGGATGAAGGGAGAACATAATTAGGTCTTCCCATATGAAACTAAATTTTTCACTTGATGTTTCCTGTGATAACTTCTGTGATGTTGCATTTGAATGTACTTCCATTATGTTTCCCTTTGTTATGTGTGCAAACCTTCTCTAACATCCCCCCGTAAATAAATCTTTTGCTTCCTCTCACCAAAGATAGTTAGTTTAGTTTTAGTTTTGTTTTTTTAAAAATTATTGAACATCTTGATTGAAGAAAGCAATAATATCTGAAAAATTATCAGTACTTTATTGTCTACACACAGGACTATTTGAATAGGAGGCCTTCAACAGGAATTGAGATCAGTGAAATGGTTTAGTGAAAATATGCATGGGCTTTCTGGGTAATGGTAATACATTATTTGCTGAATAAGATCAAAAGGGTCTGAGTATTTTGTGGCCAGGAACAACTATAGAGAGAAGAGTTCAATTTTCTATTTGTGGATCATTTAGTTTTTAGTGGAAGACAAATACTGGATACTAATTATGGATATAAAATTATACTTTTTATGAACTGGAGAGTTAAGTTATTTCTTGCAGTATACTACTTTGCCACCTGTGGGGGAAAAAACCCATACCCATCCCTTCCTCCACTCTCCACACACGCACTGGCATCTGAAGACTTGATCTATGGTTTACACTTTCAAGAGAAAAAATAGATCCCAATTTACACTGAGATTTCTTCTCTCTCTCTTTGTATGTATATTTCTCTCTTTCCCATTAAATATTATTTAACAAAGTGTTTTATGAGCAATTTATTTTTTTTAAAGCTGTATGTTTAACAGTGCTAAAGCTCTGATTTGTGTGGCATGACACTGTAGACTAAGGGGACTTGTGTGGACATTCCTATCTATCACAAATGTAAATGACTCAAAACCTTTCAAAAACTGTTTTAAATCATATGAAGTCCTTGAATCTCAGACATTTAATATGTAGAGATGTAAAACCATGGTATAAACCTTGTAGAAATTAATATAATCATTCATGACTTACGCAGTAATTCAAGTATATATATTGTACTGAAAATAACATATGTTAAATGAAATTTGTTGGAATA